GCCGAAGCAGGATGCTTTCTTCTACACGTGTGGTCCCTACATACAGCCTGTGCTACCCTACGCCTTCTTCCTAACTCGTAAAACGGCATCGGGGCATGTCGTTTCACTTACCTTCTCTGTTTTTCTACCACCTGTCCTGTCTCCCACTCTCTTTTAATCCCAAAACAAAACCCATCTTCCCCTTTTCATTCTCACCTCTCACCACCATGTCCAAAAGGACCAAAACCTAGAAAGAGAAACGACAACTCCCATTCAATTACATTATTTCTCGAGAGAGAGAGAGAGAAAGAGTAAAATAAAGGAGTACCCATCTCCTAATCATCCTCGTCTTCTTCTTCTTCCGATTCTTCTTCTGCTTTTGATCTTTTGTTTTTCCTAGTTCAGCATCATGGGTTCTCTGAACTATGGTGCATTGAACCTTATATTCTTAACGTTTCTTCTTATAACCATTGATTCAACTGCATTGCCGCATCAAAACCCCAAATCTAACTCCACCCAGATCAATTCCAACTCCGTTCTCGTAGCGCTTCTCGATTCGCATTACACTGAGCTATCTGAACTCGTCGAAAAAGCTCTTCTTCTACAAACCCTCGAGGAAGCGGTTTCGCGTCATAATATCACCATTTTTGCTCCCAATAATGAAGCTCTGGAGAGGCAGATGGATCCTGAATTCAAGCGGTTTCTACTCGAGCCTGGTAATTTGAAATCGCTACAGAATCTGTTGCTTTTCCATATTATTCCGTCTCGGGTCGGGTCGAAAGAATGGCCACGTGAGGATTTTGAATCGGTAGCTCATCATAAAACGCTTTGTGTCGATGAAGCTGACAACCATTTGCCGTTGACCCGCGGGAATTCCGGCGAGAAAATAGTAGGCGGTCTAGCCAGAGTCACCAGGCCCGATGATGTTATCCGACCTGACGGGTTGATCCATGGGATCGAGCGGTTGTTGGTCCCGCGATCTGTGCAAGAAGATTTTAACCGGAGGAGGAGTTTGGCTTCCATTTCTGCTGTTTTACCAGAAGGTGCTCCTGTTGTCGATCCCAGAACCCACCGGTTGAAAAAACCGGCTACTCCCGTTCCTGCAGGTGCTCCACCAGCTCTCCCTGTATACGATGCAATGGCACCTGGTCCTTCTCTAGCTCCGGCTCCAGCCCCGGGACCCGGTGGGCCACGCCACCACTTCGACGGCGAGAGCCAGGTGAAAGATTTCATCCAAACCCTCCTACATTACGGTGGATACAACGAATTAGCAGACATTTTGGTAAATTTGACGTCGCTAGCGACGGAGATGGGTAAGTTAGTGTCGGAGGGTTATGTTTTAACGGTGTTGGCACCGAATGATGAAGCCATGTCGAAACTCACCACCGACCAACTGAGTGATCCGGGTGCACCAGAGCAGATAATGTACTATCATTTGGTGCCAGAGTATCAAACCGAAGAGAGTATGTATAATTCGGTAAGGCGGTTCGGGAAGGTTCAATACGACACTCTGCGGTTGCCGCATAAAGTTGTGGCGGAGGAGGCCGATGGGTCGGTTAAATTCGGGCAAGGTGAGGGATCGGCGTATTTGTTTGACCCGGACATCTACACCGATGGGAGGATATCGGTGCAAGGTATCGATGGAGTATTGTTTCCTATGGAAGAGCCAACGGAAAAACCAGCTAGCAAGGTTGCGCCGACGACGGCGCCTAAGGTCGTGGCTAAGCAAAGAAGAGGTACGCTTTCTTACTTTTAATCCTCCTTGTATATTATTAATGCCGTCATTCGATTACACTAATCTGATCGGACCTGTTGCAAGAACTTTCCGTTGAGTTGTTGCCGGAATAAGTTTAATGGTTGTCTGTTGTGGTGGGTCACATGGAATTATTCGTCCGCGTCTATTGCACTCATACGACTTCATAGTTTATACTCATGAAACTTAAAAGAGTAGATTACTCCTTTCATAGCATAAGGTACAACTGAGCTAGGCTTGATTTTGTTAGCCAATTTGGTAGCTTTTTTTTTTTTTACTGATGTGGGAAATTTGAAATTACAACTTTTAAGAGAGTGGTTAAAATATTTGTAATAGTAGAAACTTTGGTGTCACTTTAAGTGTAGGTAAAGACTTGGTTATTAAGCATATAATGCTTAGTTATGAAGGGGGTATATCTAACTTTAAGATAGTCAATTCAGGTTTTTTGTTGCATTAATTACAGGTTACTACGACATCGTTTCATCAAATATCTTGGATTGTTATGCAGTTATTTATTAATCTATTTTTGGAAAAATAATAAACTTATAATTCATTATTTTGGTAAATGCAGGGAAATTATTGGAAGTGGCATGTTCGATAGTTGGAGTATTCGGACAGGATTCTCATTTTACAAGTTGTTATTGATATATATATATATATATACACATATTACATATATAAAATATATATGAAAAAAGGTGGGTATTTGATTTATTAAATATAAAAGTGGGGTGATTAAAAAAGAAATGGAATATTTTGATTAATTATTAAAATATTGGCAGTAGGAAAATTGTGTGCAAAAATAGGGCAGGGCATAAAGCAAGGAAGGGGAAGCGAATGAATGGTGCAGTTTGGCATTCAACGAAGTTTCCCCAGAGAATCAGATCCTCAAATGAGACAACAAAAACCCTTCTTTTTTTATATTATTATTAATTTTTTTCAATAATTTTCCAAATTTTTTCTTTCTTGAGGGTGTTATTATTATATATACTGTAATTAGTAAAAGCCGATTTTTCTTTACTTTTCATGTGTTATGTTTGATTTTTGCGGAAAATGTATTTGTCCAAACAATTGTATAAATATGAGATACTTTTATAACTGTTAGCAAGTAATTATTTAAAGTAACAAAATACATTTTTATCTAAAATTTAACATGAAATGGTAAGTTTGTTATTTTAAATTAAAAATTTATATATTTCATTAATAAGTAACTTGTAAAGTAACAACTGTTTTTTTTTTTTTTTAACAATTAATCATTTTTAAAAGAAAAATAAATATTTATCTTTTTGTATTATATTTTGGCGATTAAATAAAATATAACAGGCGTCGGTGGTGTGAAAGGTTTGTTCCCATTTTGTAAATGTCTTTTTCCTTTATTAGAACCTTTATGGGGTGTAATTTAAGATAGATATAATTATTAGAACCTTTCGACTGCAATGAAAATAAATCAAATTCTTAATTTATCTTTTAGCGACTGTTTTTGATACTGCATATGAACAAAAAGCAAAACAAGACAAAAGAAATATATAAATAAATAAATAAATAAAATGAAACATTAATCAACAGAAGGTAATGATATAATTAAATTGTATTAAGTTGATTGAAGGTTTGTTGAAATGTTTTATCTGTTGTCGTTTTCAAATTCATTATAATATTAAGTCATGCTTTTTTATTTTTAAAAATTAACATGTAATTAGGAAAACGACATCACATCCATCCATTTTCTTTAATAATTAATAGATAGTGAAAGTCTAATTAAAAGTATTATCATAATTATTTGATTGTGAAGATCAATTCCAAGAAGGGTCTTCATTTTATATAAAAACATGGTAGTCGTTTTGTGCACACGCAGATGATTTGCGTATTAGAAAAGGTATCTATCAGGACTCAGGAGAAAAGATAATAATAGCTCATTAACAGATAAATGGTGTTTATTACTTAATTTATCCCGTCTCTCTCTCTCTCTTCTTTTTTTCAACAAAGGTAGAAATAAAATCTTTTGTTATCTTTATTGACTAAACACATCTTTAATTATAGACTCTTTAACCATTCAAACAAAAATCTATCTGTAATTTTTATTTTATCTTTTAAATTTGCTCGCTGCAAACAGTGACATTGTTAATTTGTTATCGTTGTGACCAAATAATTTACGAGATTAATGATAAGACGGGTATTTGATGCATGCATTATATTCCGCCTACATAACTATTTTGTTTGGTGGTTCAAATAGAACTCTAGGTATCTGCTTAGTTAGTGTGTCAAACGTAACTTAAATTTTATTTATCTGTTTTACATCAAATAAATAAAGTAAAATATTCTAGATTTATAATATCTAAAAACAGCTCTTATAATTATCAATTAAAGTTGACTTGTATCTTTTTTTAATCACTTCATAAGCTATATTATTAAAAAAATGGTATATGATTAGTCGTGTGTTTTATCAGATTACTAGATTGCAATACATGTCACTTATTTGTTTTATTTAAAAACGTATATTATGTTTTATATTACTAAAAATACCAGTAAACAAAAAATACATAAATTCCAAATTGAAGGGCCATTTTAAAGTTGGAAACTTTAACAATATATGTAATTTTAATATAACATCAAATTTGATGTTATGCTATTATACGGTATAATATAAACTTGATGCCAAAATAATAGTATAAAACATAAGATGCCCTTTAATAAATTGAGTGTTCATTTATCAAAAAAACTAAATAAATAAATAAAATAAAATAACAGACAATATATAGAATTGTATGTGGATCTAAATAATTCAAATATTAATTATTTAGGGATAGTTTGGGATGAAAATATAAGCTTGGTGAGATGTTGACTGATATATTTGGTTGAATTGAATGTATACTTATTACTTGTTAGGTTAATGATTGATGAACACCACCAACTACATCTTAGCTGGCCCTTTCTCCAACTTATATGATTCATTTATATTTAGTATTAGTATCTTCTTCCAAATCAATTTAATTAAAAAAAAGAGAGAGAGGATTATTAAAAAAATAAAGATAAAGATTTACTGTAAAATAAAAGAATGAAGCATATGATAAAAATAAATAAATCCATTTCAATTCACATTTCACAAAGCGAAAGATCCAAACCAGTTTCCGCAACTTTTACAACTTTGGTTTTAAAGAAAAACAAAAAGATCCGTACAACATGATATAAACGAGTAAACCAACAGAAAAAACAGACTCATACAACATGTGACCAGTAACTTACAGTCGCTATTCACAACACAGAAGAAACCTTAAACAACTTGAAAAAAGAAGCCTATTAGATACAGAGAGATATTAAACATTATATCAAGGTTGTTTTAAGTTTTAAGTTTTAACCTCCAACAACGATGTCTGCAGACAAAACACCATTGACTTCTTCTGCTTCTTCTTCTTCTTCTTCTTCTTCTTCTATCCGAGCTTCAACTTGAAGAGGATTTGGATCATGGGATTGTTCATTGGATGGTTTCTCTTCTTCTTCTTCTTCTTCTTCTTGAACTTGGACTTGTGTTTTTACAGGCTTTTCCTTTGACTTTCCAGGTTTGACTTCATTTTTGGATACTGATTTTCTGAGTGGTTTCTTGGAAACAGCAACAGCAACAGGAGCAGTAGTGTCTTTGTCTTTGTCACCATTTGTTGTGATGGTTCCGATACCCACATTGCTCTTGTTCCGGCCAAGTTTTGGAGATTTTGGGCGTGTTGTTGGTATCTATACACAAAGTATACAATAAACTATTAAATTATATACAATACAAAAAGAACAATATACACTCACCATTTTAACGATTTATCTACTTTTTTGATAAATTTGTGAAAATTCGTTTGTGTTTTTCTAAATTTTACCCCAATATTAATAAGGATGTAAGTTGGGCGTAAGAGTATCAACGTAATCACCAGAAGTTACATCAAATCTGGTGTAAATAAATTAATATGTTTACATCCAATGTATATATACCATAATTAATCGTCAAATTTGGGTTTACTAATGAATTATATCTATATGATTTTTTTTTTTGTAGTTTGATTACTCTTGAATTTTTTTTAAATGTTGGGCTTAAGGCTGTGTTTGACAGACTAGCTGAAAAAGTAACAGCGTTTGGTAAAAACTAGCTGACAAGCTAGATGGCAATTGCAAAATGACATAAAAGGACATTTAAATATATAACTAAAACGTGTTAACACCAAATTTGGCTAAAAACTAAGTTCTTCTACAACTTTTCTTTTTAAATAAATTTGAAGAAGCGAATATGCAAAGTATGAGTTTTACATGTTTTTTACAACTTTACGTGCATGAAAACAAATATGTAAAAACACTACTATGTCAAAATGAAAAATCTTCAAAAGAAGTTGCAAAAAACGAATATGTAGAAGAACATTGGGAAAACATAGTAAAGGAAGTTATAGAAAAAATTGCAAAAACAGCTGTAGAAGTTATTGTAAAAAAATGTAAATATACTAAGTTTTATAAAACATGTAAAAACAAAATTGTAAAAAGAGTTTTAGCATATATGGATATATTTGGAAAACTTGTGAAAAAGCTCAAGGAGCTTAATAATAAGAGATTCAAATAGCTTTATAAAAAGCCAGCTTATAAGCACTTTAGTGGCCTCACTAATGTAAAGTAATATTAATTTGAGAAAAAATAAATGAGGGAAAACTTGTAAACGTTTAGTAAATGTAATGGGGAAAGCCTACTTTTTCTCTTTTTCTGTATTAAGTCGTTCTTTATGCATTAAGTCAAAAAGAAACACCAATATATAGTTTACCAGATTAAGTCAAATCCCCTTTATGTCAAAAAGAAGCAATAACTAAGCTTTAACCCTACAGTAGGTAGTTAACCATAGTGTCATGCCTCTTTTTGTCAAAAGTCAAAACCATAGCTTATCTGATTTATCAAATATAATCACCTTCTGAACCTTTTCATCTTGATAAATTAAGAATGTTTTAGAGTTTCAATCAGAAAGATTGCAGATTTAAGTTAGTGGAATGCATATTTTGCAAGATGAAGTGGATATGTTGTAAAGTAAGAGTTATACTAAAGAGATATAGAAGCTCATTAGGTTGTCAAAGAAAATGAGACTTGAAAAAAGTGAAAAGGAAATCCAAGTCCCATTTTCAACTAAGAAAAAAAAAGCTTCATTTATCTGAAAATATCTGAACAGAAAAGCCTATGTACCTAGGGCAATTCAATAACTTTTTTTCGAAATGAAATACATGTTATTTTGGTGTAAGGTATGTTTAGTGCAAAGATGCAATATCATGCAAGATGTCCTCTATAATAACTTCTAAATGAAGCAATTTTCCATTAACCATCGATCTTATAAACCTGTTAAAATTTGTACTTTTAAACCTCATGCATGAATTTTTTAACAAAAAATAAGTTCAAAGTCAAAGTGTTACAAGTACCTTCTTCAAGTCAACTTTTGGAGGTGGCTCTTTGTAAAATTTTGGCATTGGTGCAGCTTTAAACATCAAGCTCTTCCTCAACTGCTTGATCTCTGCTTCTTGGCTTTCCTGCATTTGCAACTTTGACCAAGTCAAACAATACAAACTTTGTCACCTGATTAAAACGTTCATTGACTAAAGATTTCACAAGCCAAAACCTTTGACTTTTCTTGCAAGTTGGTTTTCTCCGCTTCTTTCGCATGAATCTTCTCCTCTATCTTTGAAAAGAACTACACAAAGATCAAACATGATTAATCTATATGGGTTACATCAAGAAATTGATGGAAATAAACAACAAGGATACATTATATACAACATGATTAAGTAAGTAAGTACCTCTTTTCTCTTTTCAGCACGCTCTTCCAACCTTGAAGAAAAGCCAATCACACTGTTCTTATGCTGCCCATCAGGGGCATCTTCACTTCCATTAGATTTCCTAGGCTAAAACAAACAAACAAACAACAATAAGAAACACAAGAACACAACAAATTAAGGCTACAAAGAAAGGGGTAAAAAGGAATTTACACGTGACACGCGAACCGAATCCAAAGTAGCTCTTCTAGAAGGTGTGGCATCAATACTTGCATTCTTTTCCTTTGTTTTTACTCCTGTTGAAGCTCTTCTATTAGCAGGATTCATGGCATTTCCATTTGATACTGTGGCTGGCTGCTTACCAGGGTGCCCATCAATGCTAGCTCTCATGGAATTAGGGTTTTGGGGTTTAGAAGGGAAAGATAAACTTTGAGTTAGATGGGGTTTTGGCTTACGAGCCAATATGCTACCTTTAGAGCCATTTTTGGCTACTTTATTGTTCTTTGAAGTACCTCCATTAGTAGTAACCTCACTTGAATTTGGTATTTTGGTGCCATTAACATTCTCAGAAGATTCACTCACTTCCACTTTTGTTGATTCGAGACCTTCCTCAACTTCATTCGAGTTTTCATGATCTACCACGTTTATAACACCATTTTCATCTTCAGTGTGAACCCCATTGCCAGGCTCCATTCCTATTCAAATTTCGTCAAAAGAGATAGCACAGATTCAATATCATTTTTCATCGAAATTAACGGATCAAAACATTTGAAATCAGTAAATTTCTTGGATAGTGAATTATAAACTGTTTGAGCATTCGCTTTTGTGATTTCAAATTGAACCCACACGAATCGAACAAAAGTGAACAAAACCCGTACGGATTTTCCGAGATTTAAGTTTCGAAACCTTGAAAAATCTCAGATTCGGAGAATTTTGATGCCACTGTTGTCATTTTCAGCCTAGACACACCGACATCCATCAGGTAGGAAGTAGGAACACTCACTTTCATACTAACATTTTAATTAACACTACTGAAATTAGTAGATTAACACGAAGATCAATGAATTTGAGTATCGAGAATTGAGCAAAATACAGTCAACCAAGGGTTGAAAACAGTCAAAAGACTGAATAAATCAAAGCAATTCATGAAAATATCACAGATTTGGAAGGAAACTACGGAATACCTCGATTGAATGAAGTTTTGAGGGTTTGATTTGTGCTTCTGAAGAATAAAACAAAGATTCTGCCTTCAAATTCAAATGCTGTTATAAAAATGGCGTCTTGATGTGTGTGTGTGACAAGAAGATTTCAGTGGGGTGTGAGGGGATCATGGATGAAGAGGGTGGGGCTGGGGTAAAACTTTCATTTTTTGTGAAATGACCAGTATGTCCCTACGGAGGTTGGTTGATAATTATGTTTTATCCGTTGGAACACTTTTCGATACATAAAGCACAAGTCTTTAAAACGAGGTTTACAACACGCGAAGCCTAATTATACATAGTACAAGCCTAAATATGTGCGATATTACCAAAATATCCTCAAGCAACTTTGATTCAATAATTCACAATTAATCAAATTATTAGTTGGTGTATATGTATGGCGTACACCCATGTGCTGCCAGCTCATGTGAAGGGTAATTTGCAGTACTACAATCAAAATAAATAGAGATATTATAATCATATTATTAGATTCAAATTATAAATTTTTCTGTCGTAATCAAAATTAAATTTGAAAGTGTTTCTCATATAAAATTTAACATTTGATTGTCACATAAAATTTTACTCAATAATCAAACAATTAGAAGACCTTTTAATTACATAAAGGAAAAAATCAACTCAGTGACGAAAATGTAAACTTATAAAGAAAATATTGTATTCCAAGTGTATGTATGCCTACATACATGTATGTTTGTAGATGAAATGGTTGATGATTAAGAATTAGAATATTGAAACTATGGCTGTTGTCATCTTGTGTTCTTGTAAGACACTTCATGCATGCTGTCTTTTAACAATGCTACAAGAACCAAAAGTAATATATATATATATATATATATATATATATATATATATATATATATATATATATATATATATATATATATATATATATATATATATATATATATATATATATATATATGTCTTTTAGCACCTACACCCTTATATTTCCTGTGACTTCATTCTTTAGCATCATGACATGCACTGGAGGTTGTACTCCATGCCAAAATGGTTGGACCCTAGAACATATCGACTGGGGGTGTTGTAATTCATGCATAAACCATTGTATCATGTTCAAAGACAGACAAGTAATTATTGGTGTAAAGAAATGTTGCATTCTGTAGCTGCGAATTCATATTCATAATCTTTTGATATTCTTCTGCAAAAATATACGAGAAATTCATTGGCATAAATATGAAAAAAAATATATATATATATTTGAAATCAAAAAACAGCCAACGGCTCCTTGAATCCAATGATAAAGTTATTCCTGGATCGATTCCTTCCAAAATTGGTAGTTCCTTTGTGCATCATTGCAACAAACTCACCATAATCTATACGTCCATCCTGCAAAATTAAAAACCAATAAAAACTCTTATATTTAACTTTCAACTCAAAGAAATGGCTTTTTTGGGTGAAATGCAAGAAAAAGATTGTACATGAAGAGGTAACAAACAAAAGGGTTACTAAATAATCAAGGGTTTAAGTCAAAAAAACAATCTTTTTGCAAAAAAGCAAGAAAAAGATATTTAAAGACTTTCATTGTCAAACAATTAGTAAAATAATCAAGGGTCCAAGTCAATGAAACAATATTTTAGCAAAAAGCAAGAAAAAGATGTATATATATATTTAAAGGCTTACATTGTTCTGATCAACTTCTTTCATAATTTCTTCCAAATAGATATCAGCAACTCCAAACTCTTTGCAGGCTTGTTGGAGTTCATCATGTGTAATATAACCACTCCCATCTTTATCAAAATATGCAAAAGCAGCAAATAAACGATCCTCTCTATCAACTTTGGTAAAATGCAAAGTTGCAGCCACAAATTCATCATAGTCGATAGTTCCACTATTATCAATATCAGCCTGCAAAAAGATAACATATATGTTAATAAGAATAATAATAATAACCAAATCAATGAAAGTAAATTACTGTTTCTTGCATTTAGCTCTTAATTAAGATAACACTTACAGACTGAATTAGATCATGAATTTCAGATTCGTCAAGATCAGCACCACATCTCTTGAGTCCATCCTTGAGTTCATCAAAAGTAATATAGCCACTATTATCAACATCGATCATCTTAAACATTTGCTTTAGTCCAGCAATTTCTTCTTCCGAGAGCTTTGATGCAATGACCCTAAGAGCCATTTTCTTGAGCTTATTCATGGCAGAAAACTGAGTCAAACGAGTCAAAACTGCAGGATCAAGCGGCTTATCTGGAGCAACCCCATCTACACTAACCCAGGGATGACCTACACACCAATTAGAATCAAGAAAGTAAGAAAACTGAATATTGAAATACAACATTTTTTCAAAAACTTTACAATGAGAAAAAGAGAAAGAGTTAAACTTACAAAGAATTTCATGAGCAGTTAGTCGCCAACAACGGTCTCTAACTAGCATTTTCTTTATCAGATCCTTAGCACTTGTAGAGATAGAAGGCCATGGATCAAAGGAAAAGTCAAGTTCACCCTGTAAAATCTCCAAGAACACATCATCCTGTGTTTCTGTAACCAAAAGAAAGGAAAAAAGTTCATGATCCAAAATAAAACAAGAGAGAATATTCACAATTCACAAAATTACACCTCCCCAAAAAGGTGGCACCCCTGAAAGGAGAACGTAAAGGATGACACCAGCACTCCAAATGTCTATTTCAGGACCATAATGTCTTTGCAAAACCTCTGGTGCAACATAATAAGGGCTTCCAACTACATCCGTAAAGATTTCACCTGCAATTTAGGCTGCATAAACATGATGAACAAACATATTCCAACATGAATTCATTGAAGAAGTAATTAACATGCAAGATCTTGAAAAGATACCTGGTTTAAAGAAAACCGATAATCCAAAATCTATGGCTTTAAGAGACGAATCTTCATCTTCATCGACAAAGAGAAAATTCTCAGGCTTAAGATCCCGATGGATAACACCCAATGAATGACATGCCTCGATAACACTAGCAATAGTTTTAAGAAGATCAGCTGCTTTGCGTTCAGAGTAATGACCTTTTTTAGAAATTCTATCAAAAAGTTCACCTCCACTACAAAGTTCCATCACTAAATGAACTTCAAAACCATCTTCATAAGCACCTTCAATGGAAACCACATTAGGGTGTCCTGACAAATGATGCATAATTTCAACCTCCCTCCTAACATCTTCCACATCATCATCGGTTACTAATTTCCTCTTGGAAATCGATTTGCAAGCAAATTGTTTCCCGTTTTTCTTTGAAGTGCAAATGGAAGTTGTACCAAATTGTCCACGTCCCAGTTCTGAACCAACTGCATAGCGATCTCTTAAATTTCCAGTATTCTTTTTCAAGACTTTATCAACTAAAAGACCTGCACTTGAATGTCTTCTCCTATGATGTGAATTCATGGTGTTAAATGTCTCATTTTTCTGTGTCGGTTTGCTTTGTTGCTTCATTGGTTTATGGTCCTCATTGGATATGATTACTACATGTGGAGGTGTATTTTGGACAGGTCTGGTAATCTTATTATGTTTATGATGACGTTGATTTCTTGCTCTTCTTTTTTCATATTGGATATAATTTGGTGACCTAGACCACCATAATGAACGCCATATGGATCCAAAGAATCCATGCTTCAAGCACCTTGGTGCTCCACATCTATTTCCCATCTAAAATGATTTAAACGATGTAGGATATTGACTTCAAGTATTAATGTATAAGTTCTCAGTTTCACTCACTATCCTTTTTCATAAGAGGAAGCAACGACGATGAGCATGAAAATACTAAACAACCAGATACGAAATACAATCACCGGTTTTTGTACACACGGCCAGATAAACAGGAAGATCGAACGAAATCAAGTTTACCCAACCCACGATGTACTGATCTTTAATTTCACCAATATGAACATGATCAAGGAGAAAATTTAATAAAACCCCAATATCGAATGATGTTGATTACTCGAGGGGAGATGCAAAAATGACGGAAACAACACAAGATCGGTGGATATAATCGATAGAATGTTGAGTTTATATGGTTTTGCTAGGTCTCCATGCAAAACCTTAAAAAAAGGAAATTTTCTTGTGCGGGTTTTTTTGATTGTTTAAAGGGTCTGTTTCGGGTATGAATTCTTATCTTCATCTCGTGTACCCCTCCGTTCAACAGCTATGAATCTGCTGAAACGGCGGGTAGGGAGTTGGGGGTACCGAGGGGATTGGAAAGGAGCGAAAGAGGAAAGCAACGGGTTTTTTCCGTTGGAACTTCCCAGATAACATTTAGATAAAATTGCAAAAATGGTCCTATCGTATGCATTTTTTTTTAGGGTTTCGGTTCAAACATCGATTTTTTTGGATTCATAGTCCTTTTGATCTAGTTTGTACGTAGAATTGGTCCCCCGACTTAACTTCCGTTAAGTTATTACTGTTAACCCCCTCATGTGCATTTTACATGAAGGTATATTTGTCTTTTCACATATAAAGAACCATTTTTGCAACTAAAAAAAATATATCACTCTTTAAAAAAAAAAAAATACATATTTATTTATTTGAATAATTAAAAAATTAATACCTATTTAAAAAAAAAAAAAATTAATACCTAAGGGACCATATATATATATATATATATATATATATATATATATATATATATATATATATATATATATATATATATATATATATATATATATCTCCCTTTTATTCTTCCCAAACACAATTGTTGAAGAAGCATCATCCAAAATCTCATGTCGAGCATCAAACAAACAAACACACCCTTGGATGGCTGTTTCCAGTGAGATCAAAAGGATCTATAACCACTTCGATGAATGCAATCGATGCTCAACACCGTCGTAACCCTCCTACAGTCGAAAAAGCACAACCCCAAACACCCCACCTCAATCATTGTTGCTGCAGCTGCTCTGATTCCCTTCCGAATCGTTGTTATCGATGACGAGAAAGAAACCACGATGAGACTCGTCGGGGAGCAGCCTAGCCACCTCCTTCAGTTATTCATTGCATCTTCCCCTTTTCACACCTTTCCTTACCGAAGTTGTTGTCGAGGCAATGGGTCTACATCCAGAGACTAACGACACAATTACCCCACCCATCTTTTTTCTTCTTGTTTCTCACCTGCACACACGATCACAAAAAACCCCTTTTTTTGAGTTTTAGTTCCAATTGTCAAAGTTCAACTCATGTTAATTGGGTCTTCTGTAAACTTTAAAGAAAAACTTTTCAGGCGAATAGGTGGTGACGAAGACGAAGATTTTCAAAACAAAATCAGAGCTGATAACCCTCCCCTTTCTTCTCTGTTTACCTAGGTTCCAAATCGAAGTTTGATTTGTGTCTATTTGCAAATCGAACCATGGACCCACTTGAATCTAGATTTTTAATATTTGCTTCCTGGTTGATTTACTCGAACCCAGATTTTTAATATTTGCTTCCTGGTTGATTTTTAATTTCAGAACTTGATTTTTGGTTTTTTAACTTGATTTTCTGGTTGAAGCTGAATGTTCAATTCTCTAGTTGAAGTTAATTTTCGATTTCATAAGTTCAAATACAAGCCACCATCGCAGGTTTGGGTTTCTGTATTTTGGGTGGAGAGAGAGAGAGAGAAAGAGAGAGAGAGAGAGAAAGAAAGAAAGAGAAAAAGAGAGAGAGAGAGAGAAACTTTTTTTATTTTTTAGTTACTAAAATAAATAAATAGGTATTAATTTTTATTTTTTTAAAAAAAGAGGATATATATATATATATAAGGTGTAAAAATGGTCCTTTATATGTGAAAAGACAAATATACCCTCATGTGATATGCACATGAGGGGTTAACAACAATAACTTAATGGAAGTTAAGTCGAGGGATCATTTCTACGTACAAACTATGCCAAAAAGACCATGAACCCAAAAAAAACGAGGTTTGGACTAAAACCCCAAAAAAATGCATACCACAAGGACATTTTTGCAATTTTGTCTAACATTTATGAGCAATACTTTTTATTAGAGAAATTAAATATCATTTTGTATTTTAAATTTTTTTCCTACTTTTCTTCCTACTTATTTAAGATGATGATAAATGTACAAATTAAAAATCTCAATCAAATTTAAATTAAATTTAATGACACTTGTTACCATCTAAAATAGGATAATATTAGTAACAAAAAATAGGAGGCTATTTAATTTCTCAAAAATCATTTTTTATCCGAAGAAGCAGTACGCCCCATGAAAATGACGTGTGCACGGAGGGTTTATTCGACACTCTATCCGAAATTTCTATTTGGCTGAAACTAGTAAACTTTTATTTTTGATCTAGCGTATCTTTTACCAATATATATATATATATATATATATATATATATATATATATATATATATATATATATTATATTTTTTAATTACAAATTATATTATCATAAATAAAATATTTATATATAATAAATTTGAATTAATTATTACTTTATTATAAACGATCATATTTGATTATTATATTTTATAAATTATGTTACCGTGTTTCAAGTTTTTAGTATATATATTTAACTTTTTTATATGAATTCAATAAATAAATAGTAAACTCTATATTTATGATTAATTAATATAAATTAGTATATAACATTATATTACAAATATTAAATATTGCATTTAAATTATAATTAATAGATAAAAATAAATTAGAAATGTATAAAATAAAAATAAGAGAGACTAAAATTGGCAACCCAAACATCAACTCAAATTTTGGAGATACGAATAATATTCCTCCAAATACGGGAGAATAATATTCATATCTAAAAAAAATAAAGATGGAATAGGTTGGAGGAGAATGAGGAAGAAATAGATGAAAATTTGAGTTTTAGGATGGATTGGAGATGCTCTTAGTATAACTAAATTATGTCTTACTTTTATTTAAGACGTAAAATTTGTGCCCAAAATTCTTTTATTATTTTGATTAAGGTCTTATCTAATGTGGCATATGGAAACCATAAAGTAATATTTATTTTGTTTGGACCTACTAATGATCCTCCAATCAATGGTGAACTATTTGTGATCAATACTATCGATGATTATGTTTATGAGCATACCGCAAATATGCTCTATGGCACCACCCACAATTTGGAGAAAAATTTATCATGTAACGGGTCAAAAACACTAGATGATTGAATGAGTCAACACAAGAAAAGAAGATTAAGGAATAAGAAACATGATAACACACACTCTCAAAAATCAAAAATGAAAGTGTTACATGATATGAAGTATCGATTAAAGAAGTTTAGTAGATGGAAAGATTCATGGCTCTTCAAAACAAGGTTTAAGCATCATTGTTGAAGGATTAAACGCAAAATAGTTGATTTTCACAAGGCCAAAAAAGGTTTTCCACATGATCAGGTTCCTCAAAGTAAGGTGAGCAACCTCATGGTTGACTTTCAAAAAATTCCACGAATATATGAGCCTCCATAGACATCACTCGAGGTAACCTGTCCCACTAATGACATTAAACTTGGAAAATTTGGAACTTTGTGGGTGTGTTGACTGCAAACCCTCATGAGACTTCACTCGTCCACTAGGGGTAACCTAGGGGTTTAAAAGGCTTGTTGTACGTGCCAAGTGCAATCATGGACCCCGACGAAATTGAGGGCTAGTTAGTGTAGGTTATTTCTATTTTATTTGATTTGTGTGTTTGTAGTTGTTTTTATTATTATTTTAGGAATCTATCTTTGATGCATCGAGGACGATGCAAGACTTAAAGTTGGGGAGGGGTGTACACAAGAAAAAGATGGAGGATTGAAGAAAAAGTGATTTTTTTAAAAAAAATAGTGAAGTTTTTTGGAAATCAAAACCGCCTCTACTATCAGTACCATCAGGTGTGTCGTCCACCATATTTTTAATTTCTTTTACACTAACTTTGAAGATTTTTTTTGGATAATCAACTTAGGATGAATGTACTGCTATCTTAAACTCTATCTAGGGATGTCAATGGGACCAAACGGGAGCGGGAATAGCTGCCCCCGCTCCCGCCCCCGAAATCAATTGTTGCCCCCGCTCCCGGTCCCGCCCCCGGCTCCCCCGTTTACATAGCCCCCGGTCCCGCTCCCGGTTACCTCCATCACCCCCGGTCCCGCCCCCGTTTCCCCCGCTTAAAAATCGTTTTTTTTTGCTAAACGACTACTTTGTGTTAGGCTAAAAAGCTTGTTTTTAATAACTTTAAAAGTTTAAAACATAATCTTTTAGAAACTAAACAATTAAAAATTCAACATTACGAATTCAATATTACAAAACGACAATTCCATCAATCTTAAAAATATAAAATATGACAAATCCAATATTACAAATATAAAATACTTACATATCCAAAAATATATGATCAATTCACTACCTCTTCAATATCTATTAATTGAAAACGGGAAAGTGAAACCTAACCTACATTTAAATTAGAAAATCTATTTTGTATATGTATTTTATATTAAATATATATTTTTTACATAAATGTACAACCGGGGCCCCGCGGGAGTACGGGACGGGAATACCAACTCCCGCTTCCGGTCCCGAAAATAAGTGGGGTTTAATTTTGCCCCCGCTCCTGGTTTTTTTAAAAATTTAGTCCCATACGGGATCGGGATCCCACGGGAACGGGGTTCCAGGGGGGTTTTTGACATCCCTAACTCTATCTTTAATTATCTTATCCTGAAGTTGGTCACTATGAAATATGTGATGAGTTAGTAGATTCTCTATATCTTGAATGTAACTCATCAAGATGGAAAATGATAGGAGTTGCGTACATCGAGTCATAATATATATTTAATATTGATTTTGTGGGTTGCTCATCTTGATAGATATTTATATTTATTTAAAAATTGTTATGTGAAATACGCAGGTGTTTGAAACATGAAGGTTTTCGGCTCGAGCCTACGATCTTTCAATTGAGGACCCAACCGAACAATATGTGCCATCATGCTCTGAGTACTTGGTCTTACTTACTCCTACGCCTTTGGGGTTGGGAGGGGATTATTATTGTTTTCACACAACCAAAAAGCATCAAAGACATTGAAGATCTTTCAAGAATATATATTCTAGCTAAAGTCAAATACAAAGACGATCAAATCCGATGAAGCCATTAAAGATCTTGAAGAATGCACAATCAAGATAAATAAGAAGAAAAGTTCAAGTTGAAGACATTGTGTGAAACAATATGTGACCCCTCGATAGTGAGAGTGTATGGGTTGGTCTATCAAGTGTTACCGACCGCGCTAACTATGTTAGTGAACCTTGAAAATGGGACTTTGACAATGAGTTCAACTGATTACTCATGACGTTGATTATTAGAAAGGGTTCAAAAATATTTGATTTATTAAATATAAAAGTGGGGTGAATAAAAAAGAACTGGAATATTTTGATTAATTATTAAAATATTGGCATAACAACAAATTAAAATAAGCATAACATGTATTTTGCGTTTAAAAGTTTGGATAAACAACTAATAATCCTTAAAATCGATATATCCTACTTATTGAATATGTTTTGATAAGGTGTACGGAATTCGTGATTCCATTGAGTTTTCTTGGGATAAGAGATTAAGCCTATGTTGATTATTTCAAGCCAGTCTCGGGACGAGTTTGGAATAAAGTTGAGGAGGTTTGATAAGTCGATTCTATGAATGTATTAAATTGTCATAAATATGTTGAATTGATGTATGATTGCCCAAGAGTAGCACTACTTTGATGAGTTGTTGAACTTTATATGTAGGTAAATACTTAGTGATAAAGTGGGCGGAACCCGCAAGAAAAATGAGCAAAATGAAGCTAACAAGCATGGGAGACGAATTGCTAAAAGAATGAAGAAAAATTGTGCTGAGAAATTTGACCACTCTTCAATGTTTTGATCATATATCAAGATCTATAGATCCAATTGACATGAATGAAGAAGTTCTGAATAACACAAATTTTCCTACAACTTTCATGTTTTGCGTTTTTACTGATTCTACCGTTTCATCACCAAAAGGGGGCAACAAAGATTAGGGACATCCTAGAACGCGTCTAAGACGCACCCTAGGACACCTACCCGTTTTAGGCCATTTTTAAGTGCAAATCAAGGACGAAAGAAAGCCTGTAAAATGCCACGAAGGACGCCTAGATGTCCTATATGATGTCTAAGACGTCCACTATGACGTCGACACATAAAACAGCTCCGAAAATCAGTTTTTCAGCACCTATTTAAAGGAAATTTAACCCTACTCGAAATAGAACTTCTTCCCTGTGATTTTGCCCAGTTTTGGAGGGTTCCAAACACATTCAAAGCTTCTCCAAACACGTTTTTGATCATTAATTTCCAAATCCAA